ATTCATCCGCCGAACATCGTCTAAGAAATCCAGGGAAAACATCCCGCGGCGGGAAGGAGGGCAGCCGAGGCGAGGCGAGGCGCCGTTGCCGGGACGACCGGAAGTTCCGCCTCCGGCTGCCCGGAGCTACTTCCGCCGAGCGGGGGAGGGGGCCGCTTCCTCGAGGCCATAGAGTCCTCCCTTCCCAGACCGGTCCTCCCAGCCAAGGGTGGTTCAAACGGTCAAAGGCGTCTGCGCAACCTTTACTTCCGGTTCAGAAGGTTGCCTGGCGTGTGCGGGAGGGGCGGGGGGGGGAAACCTTTGGTTTGGGTTGCCTGGTCTCTCTTTGGCATGAAATAAGTATGTTTTGTGTGTCGTCGAGCCAGGACTAGTCCTGCAGGAACCCTGCCAGGGCTATCATCATCATCATCATCATCATCATCATCATCATCATCATCATCATCATCATCATCATCATAATCATCATCATCGCTTTGCTAACAGGCTCTGCCCCGCATGTGTGCCCATGGCTGAGCGGGGATTCGAACCCAGGTCCTCCTGAGTCCTTGTCCATTACACCCCACTGAGTATGGTGGGTTTCCTCTGCACTTTTTAGGGTACTGCAGGCCGCTACGGCTCTTGGTCCTGGGCATAAACAGAATTCCTTCCTTTCCTCCCCGCGAGCTGTTGACACTTTATTTTTTTGCGGGGGCAGGGAAGAGTGATTAAAAAGGACGATTGGTGAGAGGTACGCATGCGCGCACTAGTCTGTCCTGGGGCATGCGCACTCTTTCTAGTGAAGCAACGCCAGGAAGGGCGAATCTCCGGTGGGCGAAGGAGTAGACGGCGCCTTTGCAAAGCGATCGGATGAATGCATTTTTTTTTGGAGGCTGGCTCTGGGACGCTTTGTTGCAAGATAAGGGAGCGCCCCGGAATTTCTTTCGTTCCATTACACTTAATTAAACACGGTTCATTAATTCAGTTGCGATCCCACCCTTCAGTTCATTAACTTGCAATGCGATAGGAGGAGATAGCACCGAAATTCATTTGCTGACAATTAGGACTGCAGCGTCTTAATTAAAAAACAACAACTCCAACCTATATTTCCGGGAGAGTATTTTTCATACCGATCCTCATGAAAATTGCAAATGGCAAGTGCCATTACAGAAACATGGCTTATAGCTGCAGGCAAACAAATGTTCGTTAATTAACTACTAGGATTAGATTAAACAATTAACATTTACTTCATTGCTTTGGAGCCTTAATTAAAGTATGGTTAGTGTTAATATAGGAGTGTATAAAGAATGGGCAGTGTGGTGTAGTAGGTTGAGTGACGGGGGGAATAATATGGCTCAGGAGATCTCTCTTGAAATCCCCAGGGGGCCATGGAAGCTCAAGAGGGTGGGGGAAGAGGGACTGGTAAAACTGCCCCTTTAAATATCTTACTTACCTTAAAAGTTCTATTAGGGCACTTAGTAACCACATAATCCACACACACAAAATAGCAAAGCTGCACCCTGTGTAAGGAGACCACCACTATCTCTCAGCCTAAACTATGTCACAGGGTAGTTGCAAGTATAAAATGTGATAAAGACCGACGGTAAGTGTTGCCCCAAGAAAACGCAGGATAAATACACTACAAACCACATTAAAAGTCTGCACAGGAATTCTACCGAGAGTGCCTGATACTTTCCGCTACAATGTGGCTGGCAGTTTCCTCTGTTTAGAATATGCTTTTGATGTTTTGAATGCCTATATTCCACATATGCATGACAAAGCAACACTTTGAAATCCTGATGCTATATTAGTTGCAAAGTACTGGCAGCTATTTTCTTACAATCTTAGCTACTTGTTAGAAAAAGCATTTTTATTATTCTGTCCTATCTCGTCACTGCAGTTCAAGAGAAAGACATGTCTGCTCATTATTGGCTTAAAAGAAATTAGATAAGTTAGTTACAGGGACCAATAAAAGTAGTTACATTTAATAAATTGCAGTTTTTGAAAAAGCAACTCTAGTTCCCCATGTTCCAAAACTAGCCAGTTAATTTGAGTTGCTTTAAAATGGGTGGGAATCTGTTAACCTCCAGATGTTTTTGGCCTCCAGATGCTTTGCTGTTGCTGCAACATGCACAACACAGCACAGGATGTACACCAGGCACTTGGACCTTTTGATATTCCAGCTGCAACATTTAGTGGGGGAGTAGTTCTGTAACTATAAAAGGAACTAAAATAGTTACATCACAAAAGGAATAAAGTTACTGGCATAACTCAGCGAAGCGAAAGGGATTCTGTTCTTTCTTGTACTGATGCTAAACTCTTGGAATGTAAAGGGTTAAAGAACTGGAACCACCAAGGAGCTAACTGGGAAAAACCCAGTTGAACTGGCTGCCCAATTCTGAATCATTATACAATGACTCCTCAAAACCTGGACTAACAGATTGGAAACGACCCGTTCCATTGCATGTGTAAGAAGCACAGTATTGAAAACCAGAGCGCGATGCATTGTTAGATGGTTTTATTTGAAATACTTTGAAGTAAACATTATAGCAAGGCACAAATGCCACTGCAGATTAAATAGATATGTGATGGCTTGGAAGGGACACCCCCCCTCTCCACCCCCTGCTATTGTTACTATAGCTAGGCTACCTTGTAAAACATTCCCTAGACTAAAATGTACACAGTATCAAAAAATACAAAGAGATTTATCAAAACACATTGGGACGAGAAAGTGAGCAATTCAAATGCAATAAGATAAATAGGTTTTTTTTCCTTTTTAAATTATTTATAGTAAACAATGAGCAGGGTTCCGATCCAAAACATAAAAACCGTATATATATATATATAAAAAAGGAAAATATTACATGAAGCGGGAGGAAAGCACGCATGAGAAAAAACAGCACAGATGAAGGAAGGGGGAAAACGAGGCAATGCAAGAGAGGATGGGGAGAAATTTGGGAGGCTGTTCAGCCAGCTGAGGGCCTGGAGACGGGGAGGGAAGGGATGTGCTATCCAAGAAGCAGGAGCACTTGAAGAGGACGGAGTAGTGCTTTTCCTCGTATCCTGGAACTGCTGCAACGAGGACAGGAAACCAGCCAGGCAGTATTGGGGAGGGTATGTCAACAGAGAGAGAAAGAAGAGACGGTTTTTCCAGGAATAATGTAATTTTTTTTCTTTTGCCATGTCTTTTCTCAAAGGAAACTCTTAACAGGGAGAATCTTGCTGACTCAACAAGAAAAAGCAGCCGGCATAGATGGAAGAATAGGCTGAGCCGAACACTCTTCCTAACACCTTTCCCCCCCCTTCTTTTCATTCTTTTGGACACTTACAATCACCTATGCATACGTTGAATATGTTATGTACCCTAATCTCACTTACTTGCACAATGGAAAAGGCCACCCCACAGTCCATCACAGATACACAACAGATACCCTTAGGTTGTTAAAAGGAAGGGGCCTCCAAAGGGCAGATGCAGGGGAGGGGGTATCAGGAGACACGATTCTCATTGTCTCCTGTGCTCCCAGAGGCATCTGGCGGGGCCATTGTGAGACACACAAAGCTGGATTAGATGTGTGTTTGTGTTTTATTCAGTCAGGTAGATGGACTTCTGTTTTTGCTTGCCTGCTGAAAGCTTCAGCGCCGCCTGGTCCACTTAGAACAGAAAGCTCCCACTGGAGTTTGGTCACCAAGATGCTGCTACCCGGGATGACACCGGGGGCTGACTGCGTACACGTGCAACAGGACTGCACCATTTGTGCAACATGGAAACATTCCTCCCCGAATAGTTATTGATGTTGAAAGAATATCTTCTACTATTTTTTTAAAAACACCAGTTTGATGGTGTTTGTGGAGCGTCTAGAAGTGAGACTGTTTTTAAGGATGGTGGTGGGCACTGCATGTGTGTCTCAAGCAGAAAGAACAAACAGAGATGGTCCAGGAAGTACAGTAGGACCCCCATATCCACGGGATCCGTATCCATGGTTTCACTTATACACTGTCTGAAAATACTTTTTTAAATCCAGAAAAATATCTATTAACAGAACTGGCCACTAGGGGGTTGAAGAGACCATGCTATGAATGCTTGCTAGGGAAAAATGCATAGCATGGTGTCTGGTGCACTCTAGTGGCCAGTTCTGATAATGCATGTGAAAATATTTTTTCTGTTCTTTTTCACCCTTTACCTTGCTCTCTCTCTATATAGAGCAAGGCAAAGGGGAAAATATATAGAGTGTTCACTATTATTTATGGTTTTCTGTATCCAAAGGGAAACTTGGAACCAATCCTCAGCGGATATGGGAATCCTACTGAATACTTGCTAGACTCGGACGAAGAATCTTGAGAATCGAGAAAACAAAAGCCAGCAGCAATACTCTTTATGCAAAGGGGGGAATATGAGGTTAAAGGGCTGGCTGGGGTCTTGAGTGATACACAAGGGCTCCTGTTGTTTGGGGGAAGAAAAGTAAAAGAAGGGGGGGATGCCAAAAAGTGTTTCTTACCCTGGAGGTTCAGACATGGTTTAACTGGACGTCTTCACCACACAATCTCTTTTTCCCCCTCTCACATCTGTGACATATTCAGTGCTACAGGTTAGTTTGCTTGTTTGGGATTTCCCTTACCAGCTGAAGCGTGTGGAATGCAGCACCCCATTCCACGAAATCAACAGCATGTTTAAGACTGCCCCGGCCCCTCCAACCGACAGCTTAGGAGAGACAAATCTTAAATATTCGGAGACTTTGCATGTTTGGCCTGAGAACTGAGTTTCTCTGCGTTACAGGACAGGAGATTACTCTCAGAGTCTTTGCTCTTTGCACTACTGTCTTCTCCATCCGTAATGTTCGTCTTGGTGTTAGGCTCTGCCAGTCTTTTCTCGTTCGTCTCCATTTCCGCTCCCTCTTTTTCCTCCTCTTCTTCGGGTTCCTCCTCTTCCTCCTCCCCCTCCTCTGGATCTTTTATTTTATGTACAATAAAGAGATGCCGATTGAGAGAGATGTGAGATGTGTAACATAAACCACACAGCAGGCACTGGTAAGTGGAACTGTCCGTCTTGTGTCGAGGTATGTGTGCCAGGAATTCAGTCTCGCTGGCTGTCGCAAAGCCGCACTTTGCACATTTCCAATGTGCCGCCTTCAGTTTTTTTGCTGGTGGATCTTCAGATTCTGATGTTGTTGTTGTTGTTTCTGTCTGGTCCAAACCTTCTGCAGTTACCCTCTTTGGAGATTTTGCCTGGAAAACAAATGCAAACACCTATGAGGGACATGGAAGGACCTTCCCCAAAGAATGCTCCCACACCTAAAGAACAAGTGCTGTTGCTGCCTGTTCATTCCTCTCCAGAAGCACCAATGTGAGAGGGAAGGCACGGCATGGCACCAACCAAATTTGCATCACAGGGGCCTGATCCAGTAGCCCATTACAAGCGTACTGCTCAGGCAAAGAGAGGTCTCTGTAAGAGAGAGATGCCCACACCTTTGTGGGCTACACTTGTCTGTGTTTCAGAACCAGATGTCTAATGTGTGGTTTGTAACAAATGCCGTTTTAGACTCAGACTAATGGTGCAAAACACCATCACTAACACTCCCCACCCCTATTAATCTAATTCCACCCCCATGACAGTGCTGAACCACCACTTATTTTATGGGGACTTGTATTCCCTCTGTCCATACCCCCTGCTTGCTGTTAAGGGGCATACCTAGCCTGTAATGGTCCGACATAGCTCTTGCTCAGATACCCATGCTCTTTCACTAGGGGACAGAATACTGAAAGAGATCTTTCTAAATGTGATTTTTGCACTCACAAGGCACTGTGCTGAGCAGCCATCAAGTCTGTTCAGCATCTCTACAGAATATATGGAACAGTTGTTTTAGAGCAGTGGCTCCCAAGCTTGTGGTCTCCAGATGTTCTTGAACTAAAACTCCTGGAAGTTTTAGCACTAGCTGTGCTGGCCAGGAATTCTGGGAGTTGCAGTCCAAGAACATCTGGGGACCCAAGGTTGGCAAACACTGTTTTAGAGTATCTCTTCTGCTCTGTTAGAAAAATAACCGAAGCTACTGGAAGACGATGCTCACTCCTATTCCATCTTAAACTGTCCCACCTTTGCCTTCAATATTCTCCAGGCTGCGAATTCTCCAATTTGTATTTTATACTGCATAAAGATGTCAAAAGGTACCTTGCACCCCAAGGTCCTAGAAACCATCTACACTTTCTAATATGCTTTTTAATTTCGAGGATAGTGTTTTGTCCGTCTTGATCTAGATTCTAAGAACAGGAGGTCTTCCCGGCCAAAATAGAAGAATCACTTAGCATTCAATCTCTACAATCTACACAAAGACAATCGGAGACAGAGGTGGAAAAGTCACAGAGGGAGGAAATTTAACTACCCCACTTCCATCATTTAAATAAAGTGCTGCAGATTACCTTTGATAGGTCTTCTGCTGGAGCTTTGGTTTTGGATATCTGGGAAAGATCTGGGTTTTTGATACCATGCATGAGGCTGATGTGGCTCTCCAGCATAGACAGCTGAGGAAATGTCTGAACTTCATCTGTGCAGTACCTTTAAAAAATGAAGCAAGACAACATCACTGATATTAGTAGATTTCTGAGTGTCACCCCCCTTGGCACCATCCCACACTATTGGCATTTTGACTGCGTGCTCTTTGGGACAGGGGCCCGTTTTCTTCTTCCCTTATAGAACTTTAAGGATCCTCTCGAGACTAGAAAAAGGTGATGTTCTGGACTAAAACTCCCAGAATCCCCTAGCCAACATAAGCACTTGGAAAAAAAACATCAGAAGTGGATTCCCACACTTCCTCCTCCTCATACACAGGTTTGCTTTCAGTTAGCACCAGAGTGGGGCCTGTAGTTCCTCCAGGTGTTTTGGCCTATAATTCCTATCATCTATAGCCAGCACAGCAGGAACACAGAACCTCCCCTCTCAAAACACCTGGAGGGCCAACAGTTGCCCACATTTCAACTACCTTGGGTGATGCTAAACCTGCACGTGCCATCAAATCAGAAACAGACAAGGTTTTGGCCCCAAAGCAGGAACCATGGAAGTGCTAATTGAGTCTCATTCGCCCCTCATTCTCCCTGCCCTCATTTCTGATCCAGGTGAACCTACACCCCCAAATCAACCTAGTTTAAAGAAGAGAGAGATCAAAGAGCCGCAGGGAAATTAGTCGGGAGGATAAGGGTTTGGCAACCCTGCTCTCTTAGTCCCCCTTATAAACACTCTATCCATTCCCCCCCCATTACCTATACATTGGCAAACATGTTTCTATATCAATTTTATTTACATCCTGCCTTTCTCTTAAGGCCAAGGGTATATGATCTTATCTTTACAGTAACAGTTAGTGAAATATCTTAAGCCAGTGACGGTGAACCTATGGCAGGTGTGCCACAGCTGGCACACGGAGCCCTTTCTGCTGGCAAGCGAGCCATAAGTTGTTGGATTGCTACTCCGCCTGCGCAGCCAAACCTGAGAAGGTGGCTGCAGCCGTGGGTGCTGGTGCTTCAGCAGGCGGATCTGGAGCAGCTGGCACTGGTGGCGGATCCAGAATGGGGTCTCAAGGCACCTCCATGCCCGGGATTCCCCCTTTCGCCGCCACTTCCGGTTCCGCTGCCACCACGCCACCCGCTTTTTTTTTCTTTTCTTTTCAGTTTGGGCACACGAGCCCAAAAAGGTTCACTGCCACTGTCCTAAAAGCCATCGTGAAGCAAGGTCTCCTCTCTCTAAACCAGGCATCCTAACGATCCCACAGCAGCTCCAACAATGCTTTTAAAACGAGAGGTGGGCCATCTTTTCTTTCTGCCAACGGTTACATTATTTTGTTACTGTTGGATTGACGATGCACCTTTCTACCCAAAAATTGAGATTTAAGGTGACTCGTAACAACCCTGAACCAAATGCAATGAAAATACATTTAAATTCTAATTTCAAAGCACAATTAAATTAAGAACACAGGAATAAGGAGAAGTAAGGCACCTACATGGTTAAAAAGCCCCTCCCTCAGCCACTATGCAAGGTCCAAAAGCCAGCCTGAAAAACAACAACAAGGTCTTGCTTGCAGGAGGAAGAACAGCAGAGAAGGGGCTAATTAACCTCCCCTGGGAGCAACAGGCACAGTCAGAGCATCACTGCTTGTGTGGATGCTAATTCTGTTTACAGAGCCAGTTTTAGCTTGGTATATTTCTTACTAGAGGCCCAGTTCTAATGTTGTGTTTTTCACTTATTTGTTTGTTGAAGCATCCATGCAAATGGCTGGAAAGAAGAAAAGAGAAGTACCTGTGAGTTGAGACAGGCTTCCATGACAGAACTGGCTCATGGAATTGGCTACAAGCAGCCTGCCTAAAGGATTCATTCCCACAGAATGGTTTCAAGTCAGACATAAACATCCGTGTTTAGGAATAGACAAAGAGGCCACCAAGAGCGGCTTAGAGCCTAACTTTCTCGCCTAATGGCAACAAAGGTGACCTTGATCCATTTTACAGTCTGATCTGGGCCCTGGAGGAAGATAAGAACCACGTTCCTAAAACAAACCTAGGAGGGTTTACCCTGCCGGAAATATGTGTTTTGTCTGTGACTTGATGGGAACGGCGGCTATCACGCTCGTCAACAAACCAATCCAGGAATCCAAGAGCCCACAAAGCACAGGAGTTAAAATACTCAAGAAGAAATCATCAGTGCAAACCATGTTGCCCACGTGCAACAGTCCAAGCCCATTCCTGCTTGAAATTGCTCTGCTTCCCTGGCTAATGTTTGTGCTTCAGAGAAGTCTGTTCTTTTTCCTGCTCTAAACCATGAGTAGGATATGCAAGACCTTCCCACTGTTGTACGGCAAGTCCCATTAGCCCCCCATTCAGCACTAGGGATTGAGATGTTCACTTAAAAACAAAAGGAAGAAAATAAGCCACAAAATAAGCTTGTTTCCGCCCCTCCTTTCTGATTTTTTTTTATGATTCCCAAAAGAGAGCTTCTTAAACACCTCTGATTCACTAACAAAAGACGGGCACAGAAACATTTCATGATTTTTTAAAATGTTTTCCTTTTCATTAAACGCTTCTTCCATCTCTTGCCTGTAAAAATTGCCCACGATTTTTTTCAGCCCCTAGCATTGTGTGTTGCTGCTGCTGCTGCCAGCATCCTATCAGCACGTCCAGGAGCAAGGAAGGGGGCACTCTGAATCAGTAAAACGGCCTGGATTTGTGTTTGGAACACAGTGAGGAGAAATATGTGATCTTTCTTTGCTTCAGCATAAGTGTGCTGCCTGCTAGCTTGATTGATTCTCCTTTGCCTTGCCTCTGCTTTGTTTTTAAGTAGCAGTGCACCATAGAGGACGAACGGAGGAAAGGACTGATGTTTTTCTGTGCTTCAGTGCTAAAAGAGTGAGCAGCAAACCAGCAGGTTCCTAGCCAACACTGTGAGCCCCAATCCTTGGGGCCAAAGCAAGAGGCGAGGTCAGAAGAACCCTTCTGTCTCAAGAAAAACCGAAGGAAGGAAGGCCAGGCCACAAGCACTCTCCTAGTACTTATTGCAGCTCTGCTGGAAGGAAGGGCTAAATGGTTGGGAGTGGTGTAGGGGTTCCCATGCCACAATTCTTCTTCCACTCCACCTCATCTGACCAGAAGACACTGACATTTGGGGACTTTAGCACAGGCCTAGATCAGAGTTTCTATAGCGGGCCCAAAGGAAAGAAAATGGAATGAAAGGATCGGAAAGAGCCAGTCCCTTTCATGTGAAAGACGGATGAAGGAAAGCCCCCCAAAACAAGAGGCATCCCCTGAAAAATCCTGTAATAAATCAAGACCTGAAGTTTTCACCTTGTGTTTCCCTAGTCAGCATATACTGATAGGAGATGCAATAATATTCTGTAAACACATAAGGAAACTCCCCAAAGGATATGAGGACTGGGAATGCATCCAGGCTTCCCCTGGGCAAGGAGAGCACCCTGTTGGCTGATCTTTCCACTCCAGAAGCACCACTAGATCGCTTCTGACACAAGAAGGAATCAATCACAAGCTGCACGCTAGTTGTGGCAGGGCCGAAGACAAAAGTGAAAAGGGTCAACTCCTTCCGACAGCCCTCCCTCCCCTTCCTCCTTCCCCCAACCCATAATCTACCAAGGAAGGGCCAGACCACTCTTGTCAGAGGTCTGAACTGGCCCACGTACAGAAGACATCTGAAAGAAGGCTAAGCGATGGAAGTTCTGCAACTCTGCTCTAAACAAGATCAACTCAAATGGAACTAATGATTCTCAAGTCAATCAGATGCAGCCTCCTGCTTGCATTATTAATGGCTAGCATGCGACTGCTTTATTATGGAATCTAGCTGAGAAACCTAAAGCTCCACCTCAACTACTATATGATTCCTCCACTCTTTTATGTTTGGAAAGAGAAAGCAGCAGAAAGACCCAACTGCAATGCACATTTCTACCCTAGGAGTTCTCTATTTTATTTGTTTATTTAAAGTATTTTTAACCCACCTTTCTCCATAAAAAGGACCCAAGGTGGCTTACAACAATTAAAAAACAGGTTAGTAACAATGAGTATGCAATACTCAAAGGATCAATTAATATGGTATCAAAAGACGTAAGCGATACCAAAACATGTTCAACACAGTAAGGTATAATTCATTTTTAAAAACCCACTTGGTAGCCATTCATTCAGGGAAAGCTTGTCAGAAGAGAAAGGTCTTTTGCCTGCTGGTGGAAAGACAGCCATGATGGGGCCAGCCTGGCTTCCACTGGGAGGGAGTTCCAGAGTCCGGGAGCAGCCACAGAGAAGTCCCTCTCGCATGTCTCCACCAAATACACCTGGGACCTTTTCCCTCTTTTAAAAATGTTGCACACTCACCAGCAAGTGTAAACTTTCTTCGTTGTGTCGTGATTATTGCGAATGTGTTTCCGGAGATTATTGGTGGCGCTGAACGATCGCTCACACTGCCGACAGGGATATCGCTTCACATTCTGAGAAAGACATGATGGGAGAGTTAATTCTGAAGCAAGAGTGAATTGTCTTTGCATTCTGTCTTGATTTGTGCAGAGAAGTGGTCGTCGGGTGAGCATGGACAGGTTTGGAGCCACAGCACCTGGGACCATATCTTTCGAGAGGGCTGCTTCATACAATATGGAAAAAGTATGCTTTACCATTGTATTAGAACTGCAGAGCTGGAAGAGACCCTAAGGATCATTGAGCCCAACACATGTCAAGGGAGCACAACTGGGGAATCAAATTCCTGACTTCTAGCTCTGCAGCCAGAGACGTGAACCACTGAGCTTATCCAGCAGTTCTCTTCCAAAGCATCTGCCACATCTCTCTAACTGATGAGCTGTACCTTTGGAGGTGCATGGAAAAATGATCTTAAGAGTCTCAGCCAATTGTGGCTTCCGGTGTGCATGTATCCCAGGTCTGCAGACATCTTTTTTGCAATTTGTTTCTGTGCTCACGATGAAGTTACGAAACAGACATGCTGTACAGTGGGGTCTTGACTTGAGAACTTAATGCGTATTGGAAGGCGGTTCTCAAGTCAAAAAGTCTGTAGGTCAAGTCTCCATTGACTTACAGTGCATTGAAAACCGATTAATCCCGTAACAGGCCGTTTTTGTTCCATTTTGGTTTTTTTTGGTCTGTAAGTCAATTCTCAGGCTGCAAGTCAAACCTGAATTTTGCGGCCAGAGAAGTCTGTAACTCAAAAAATCTGTAAGTCAAGCTGTCTGTAAGTCAAGGGTCCACTGTATCTCTTTTTGATTATGCAAAGCCCTCTGCTATCCATGCTCCTGCTTGCTTTGGTTTCTCATTTTCCCAGTTCCCTGTCTCCATAGAACTACTGGTGTATCTCCTTATAACGTTGTTGTGGAGAGAAATCCAGATAATGTTTGTGCATTTGTAACCTTTCTGATTAGAAAACAAAAAACAAAACACTGAAAAATAAATTAGACCACATACAGATAGAAAAAGCAGAAGTATATTTTAAAGCAGTTGCTGAAAAATAAATTAGACCACGTACAGATAGAAAAGCAGAAGTATATTTTAAAGCAGTTGTGAATCTGCGGTCTTCCAGATACTGTAGGACTACAAACCTCCATCATGCCTGAATATTGGCCATGCTGTCTATAGCTGATGGAAGCCGTAGTTATAGGGTGTTCTAAATCCTTCTCTTGACTCTTACTGGATAACTCTCATAGGACTGGAGCAAACCCAAGGGAGAAGAGGAAGCAATGTGTATTGTTTCTCCCCAAGTTCTCACACCAGTAAGAGGCTGCTAAAAAGCTACTAGGTGTTTCAGATTAAGCTTACAGGAATAGGGGCAAAATGCAGCTTCTCGTGTGTCATGGAGGCCCTTACCTTTCCATGGCTTTTCTTCATATGAGACACATAGGTTTCTCGGTCAGGGATCCACTGTGAACACTCCCGACAGGTCCAACTACAATGTTTTGGTTTGGGCTTTGATTCTGGGTTTGTCTCTTTTGCAGGCAAAGAAGTCTGGGAAGTACCATTGATGACCGAGGGCTCCTTTGATGCTGGCAGGTTACTGCTTGTTGCCGACTCTGCCTTCTGTCGGATGCTAGTGAGATTCTCAGGATTTTCCGGGACTCCGTGGACACTCTAAGGAACAAAAGTCAAGTAACCTACTGTTAGATCTGTAGAGTACCACATCCCAGTTCCAAGTACAGTGGTGCCTCACATAACGAGTGCCCCGTTTAATGACGAATCTGCACAGCGATGCGGATTTAGCGATCGCATTGCGATGATTTAGATGGGCGAAAATCGCATTGCGATGATCGGTAAGCGTTTCGCTTACTGATCTTCACATTGCGATGTTTTCAGAACAGCTGGTCGGCGGTTCCAAAATGGCTGCCGGGTGAAGAAAATGTCCGCCTGCAGCGTTTTCACGCGATTTCCTCACTTAACGAGGCGGCGAAAATGGCGGCCGGATAGAGGATCTTCGCAGAACTGTGAGTTTTCCCCCCATAGGAACGCATTAAACAAGGTTTAATGCGTTCCTATGGGGTTTTCCGTTCCGTATAGCGACGATTCCGGATAGCGACGATTTATCCGGAACGGATTATCGTCGCTATGCGGGGCACCACTGTACCAGACCAAAGAAAATTGCTCATACTTTCTTCTAGAACAACTGGAAGCTACTCTGGGAAATAAGTTCCCATCTGCTTGTTTGTTTCAACACAGACAAAGCTGAACCAGAGATCTCCAAAAATAACTGATTATTGCATATTGGACACATCATGTTCCATTCCACCATATGACCATTATCACGAGAAAAACATGCTCTAACAGAACTCTAATAGAATAATATGTTTCTTCTGCTTACTGCAGACAACCTTGGAATTCAGAAGATTGTGGATGAATGCTGCAGTTGCCTGTTCTCTCTAGCCTGGTGAGTGGCAGGTCATAATTCATTCTATGCTGGTTTAATTAAATCATGGTTTGCAGTTTCATTCAAACCAACAAACTATGTCTTGAGAAAGGCATATAAACAGGACTGTAATCCATGGTTTTACTCTAGTTCAGAGAGCTTGTGCAACACATAGTTGGTTGATTCTGTGCAGGCTTGGAATCATCCTCAGTCACGAACCTTCACATGCTGCATTAACTGAAGCTTCTGCATATACACTAGCTGACAATGCGGACACTTGAATACTCCCACCATCAGCCTTTTGGCATTTTGCTGGAAGTGCTCCTGAAGAAGCCTCTTCTTATTAAAGACCGTCTCACAAGAACATTTGTAGATCACCCTGAAACAAATTAAAGATGACATTCACAAGGAGATTTTATAAACTAACAACAAAACCCCCTCCAACAAAACCCTCAACAAAACGCCTTGGAAATCGGCATTATTTAGGATGAAACAATGTTGTGTAATGTCAAGACAGAGCTTGGCAATAACATAAATTAGACTCACTAATGGCAAAACCATGACATTTGTTTTAAGCAGGAAGAAAAGTTACTTGATGGGTTTAGAAAGTAACATTTTAAAAGTAACTACTTTTCTACCTACATTATTTTCAAAACATTTTTTCCAACACTGGATGCACTCTTCCTGTTGAACATGAAAGTAATGATTTTAACATTAATGCACTGCATTAACATGTTACTTCCATGCTTTGTGTTGACATACACATGCAATATGTCCATCTGGGATACTGACAAGCACAGGAGCCTGTCTGATACAGTGGTGCCCCGCATAGCGAGATTAATCCGTTCCGGATTAACCTTCGCTATGCGAAAACATCGCTGTATGGGGCAGGAAAAGCCTATTGGAACGCATTAAACTTAGTTTAATGCGTTCCGAAGCCTGTGTGATATCTGTTTCCAACAGCAGACACAATGCACTTCTACATAGTTGTAAAATAACTATGGTCTTAGGGAAGAATACACATAAAGGCCATTTCCCTGTGCAAAGTCCCACATGGTGCTATTGCTTTTAAAATGCAGTTACTCTTCTGGGCTCTAACACTCAGCATACACCTTCCATTACTGATGTCCTGTTCATTTATTTTGCTCTGCTTTATTCATTTAGAACCTTTTCAGGTTTCCTCTCAAAAATCCAAGCTAGCTCAAGATGAAAACAATCCAGTAATAGATGTTAGAATAAATAAAAGCCAGTGCCAAAAGAAACAGACATCCTACCCCACCCCAATAATAAATATGTAAAGAAAAGCAGTCTTCAGAACTATTAACATTCCCATATAGACAAGTAACTGTGCTTTGTATCCACTGAAGTTTCTTTATAATCAATCCCATGTATAGCAGCACACAAGCATAATCTCTAAGAGCGTTACTGAGGGTACTGAGCACAGCTGACCAAGTGGTCACAGATACAGTTCCCAAACTACACAGATGGATTCATTAGTGGTTGCTCCTGGAAACTACTGACTACTGTGCTCTCCCAAAATAAGACAGGGTCTTATATTAATTTTTGCTCCAAAAAACGCATTAGGGCTCATTTTCAGGGGATGTTTTATTTTACAGTCATGTCATCTTCTGGTTGCTGCACAATGCTGCACAAGGGTGGAGGGCAGGGTTTCATTTAACTAGGGCTTGTTTTTTGGGTAGGGCTTATATTACGAGCATCCTGAAAAATCATACTAGAGCATGTTAGATCTTATTTTCATGGAACAGGGTAAGTAGTACCTTGCTACCATGTTTCTCTGAAAATAAGAAAGGGTGTTATATTTATTTTTGCTACAAAAACAGTAGGGCTTATTTTCAGGGGATGTTTTTTTTTTATGTACAACAATCTACATTTATCCGAATACAGTCATGTTGTCTTCTTCTGGTTACTGCACAAGGGTGGAGGGCAGAGTTTCACTTAACTGGGGCTTATTTTTGGGGTAGGGCTTATATTATGAGTGTCCTGAAAAATCCTACTAGGGTTTATTTTCAGGTTAGGTCTTATTTTCGGGGAAACAGGGTAAGTAGTACTGGGTACCTAGCATACAGACATATAATATCACATCTCAGAGAGCACAGGGGAGGGACAGCTATATGCTGAACCTGGTTACAACAAACAACTCCTTATTTACATTAAAGCATAAATACAATTTAAAGAATTTTAAGAACAAACACAGTGCAGAACTAAATCTTAATATAATTAGCAAATAAGATTAGGATGCAAGCTTCTGTAACACAGTGATGCTGATTAACATATTTTTAAAAAGACAAATACACACACACACACACACACATTTTTCTCATACAGTTCAGGCAGAGACTCTTGTAGACACAGAGGTTTGGACAGTCAAGTAGACAGAAGACAAACCTGATTAAAAAAGGGAAAACTATGGAACAACCGCAAGGGATGAGCACATTTACCCAGAGAGACACTTACTGAGATGTCTTGTGAGGTTCTGCAGGATGCTGACTAGTGATATGAGCAGTGGTGCTGTCTGCAGACTTGAAGGCCATCGGACAGAATGAACACTTGTGGAAGACTTCACAGTGTTTCTCATGAATGTGCACTTTCAGCATCGCTTGTGACATGAAGACAACCCCACAGTGAGTGCACCTGAAAGAGAGAGTGAAACTGAGAACTGCAGCAACACAGAGAGCAACATTGAACTTCAGATTTCCACAAAACATCATAGAATGGAGACCGATTAGGGTTTGCCTCAATGAATTCTTTACTGGTAACCAAGAGGATAGCAGGACAGTAGAACTGACATGCTGTACAATCTCTGTCACATCTAGCTATTCAGTGGTAGTGGGGGAAATGAACAGAACAGATTTCTTCCATCTTTTCCTTTAACATTTACAGAATATAGTGTTTGTGCTGAGATACTGGCACTTCATACAATATGGAATGGAAAATCAGATCTAATCCAACACAGCAGCACTCTGGGGCCAACAGCACTTAAGCAACCCGAGTGAAAAGGCTCGCACAGTTTGTAGTCTCAGGCCACCCTACATAGGAAAAAGAAGCTTAATTTGTTGACACTACACAAGCAATAATTAAAATTAGTGTCTTATTAAGATGTTATCTTGGGAAGACAAATGTATACCAGGAAAAGAGGGAAGAAAGGACTTAGCTGTCTAGCTGGGAAGCCGTCTCTACAGACATCGCCAGTAAGAGGCAGAGCTGAGAAAAACATAATCTACCCGTGACTGTGCAGAATTGCTGCCTGACTTCTAACAGCCTTATGAAAAAGTGACCTCCACAAAGGTCATGTCATTAACAGCCATGATCAGGTTTTCCAAACCAATGGCCAGGGTGTCCTTTACTGAATTAATCTGTCTGTGCTTGGTTTTCTCCTCTTGCCTTACAGTCACTGTCTTTTCCAGTGAGTCTTATTTTCCAAAGTATAACAGCTTCACTTTAGTCCTTTATACTTATAGCGAGAGTTCAGGCTTGATTTGATTTGGAACCCATTTATTTATCTTCCTGGTTGTCCATGGTATCCGTTAACCTTTCATCTAACAGTACGTTTCCAATGAGTTGATTTTTTTACTCTTCTTTTTCTTCCTTGTCTCGTTTTCACAAAATAGCAGACTTTTAAAAAGTCTTAAGTGCCTAACTGGTCCTTTCTTCTTTTGGGACACATCAGTACTAGTAAACAGAGTGTCTGTATGTTAAACAAACAAACAAACAAAAAAACCCTAAAAAAGCAATGACTCAGTGCCTACCGTGTTTCCCTAAAAAGAAGACAGGGTCTTATATTAATTTTTGCTCCAAAAATGCATTAGGGCTTATTTTCAAGGGATGTTTTTTTTTCATGTACAACAATTTGCATTTATTCAAATACAGTCATGTCATCTTCTGGTTGCTGCACAAGAGTGGAGGGCGGGCTTTCACTTAACTAGGGCTTATTTTTGGGGTAGGGCTTATATTATGAGCATCCTGAAAAATCATACTAGGTCTTATTTTCGGGGAAACAGGGTAGTTAAAGTGCTACCTTTAACGGCAATAATTAGGACAACTTAATGCTAGAAAAGGAACCAGCATTTCAGACGCAAGTGCAAACCACACTTTTCTAGAATACCAAAAGAAACTAACAAAACATTATGTCAAGCTAGCCACCATCCTCGGCTCTCCAAGCAAGACCAATGAAACTCGTACAAAATGTAACTCTCTTCCAAACACGTTATGATTTGAAAACATTCACTGCTTGAGATGACTTTGGATTAAGTTATTTTAATCTAAGGTACATTAAAATCAAAACATAAGCATGTTAGTATGAAAAGCAACTAAGCACATAACTGAATCAAAACTATTTACTGTTAGTGTTAATTCATCATTCCTTCTTACCAAGTTATTCTGAACCACCCATGAATCTGTCAAATATCCTTTCTTTTATGCTGTAACTTCTTACCTAGGCAATGAGGAATGAAAAAGGAGCCTCCACACAAGTGCACCTCTCACTGTTAAATCTCTTGTTATACAAGAAGCAGGCATCACACCTCTCTCTCTTTAGTTAAGTCACAGAAATAACAGGTTGTGGGCCAATTCTGTTTTCCTCCATCACTAAATCTCCTCAAAGGGAAATTATTACGTCAGAATTTGCCCATCATCACTATCAATGGCTGTAGAGATTGGCGTTTCTGACAGATGCCATGAGAAAAGTAACATTTCTAAGTCCTGTATTAAATAAAAAGGCATCACCTATGAAGGGCTGTAGTAGTCCACCTAAAACTCCAGGTTTTTTTTGTTTTGTTTTGTTTTGACAGTATTTTTCCATCTGAATTTACTTCCTTACAATTTCAGGCACAGTAAAAAACACTCACTAAGCTCCAATATGAACTTCTGGAAGGCGAGGCAGGAAAAAACAAACAAGCCTTATCAACATTTGCCTTTTGAAACGATCTGCATGTGGGAGTATGAAAGAAGTTGACTGCAAAAACTGCATCTCTTGTACAGTGGTGCCTTGACTTACGACCACAATCCATTCCAGAAGATGGGCGTAACTCGAAATGGTCGTAAGTCGAAGTGCTTATTTCCCATAGGAAATTAATCTGTTCCAGCATAAAACAAAACAAAAAAACCCCACAGCCAGCACAACTGGAATGCAATAGGGCTGCAAAACACACACACACACACACACACACACACACACACACACACACACACACACACAAAATTGTGGGCGGCGGGGGGCGCGACCCGCTATGCGTGGATATGTTGGGACGGTTGTTAAATGGAGTTACCACTATAATGATCTGAAGTTCATCCTCCCTGAAAGTATTTTTTCCCTCATGTATGCAATATAACTCATTTTCTCCGTTCTCTGTTACTTAACACCAACCTGTAGCCAACTTTGCGGGAGTAATGCAGACAATTCTCTTTGACGTGGGTTTGGAAATAGGCCGACTGGCAAATGGCGCCGCACTCCGGGCAGCAATAGGGGGATCGGTGAGCGTGAATTCTTTGATGAGCACAGTAACTGCACTTGTTCGGCAGCAGCATCTGGCACACTTGACAGGTCTGAAGGAAGAAGAGAGATCATTATTAGCCAGTCCGTCCTACAAAGTCTTCCGCATTTCTTTTTATCGCCCCAATATTTTCTGCCCTTTATGCCACACAGTCACTGCCTATCTTCATTACTTGTTTTCTGCTGGGATAAATGTGGCAATGCTGTAAATCAGTGGGGGATGAGAAGCAAAACACCAGGAGGTGATTGACAGCCAGGTGGGCTTGCAAATCTAGTTCATCTTCATCTCTGCTACTGATTGCTTCCTCCTGAAGTTTCTCTCCTCTTCGTCGAGAGAAGAGTTTCTGTTCTCCTTTCTCAGCGGACTGGTTGCAAGGGCGACTCGTTGTTAAGGGTGTTAACTGATATTCATTTTTTTCACTCTATAAAAAAGGATGTCTAAACACACTGCGCTACTCCATCAAAAAAGCTGTCAGCCTCTGTGAGATATTTTGTTCTCCACAAGAAATAAAAACACTAGTGTTTTTTTTTATTATCAGCAGCATTAGCAGAATAGTGGGTGTTTCTGATATACTTAGGGTTGAGCAGAGAGCTTGACCTGGTAGCCTTATAGGCCCTTCCAACTCCCTTATTCTATGATTCTAGTTGTGTTACCTTTCTCAGTGCAGGATGTTTATTTAAAAAACTAAAAGGTGTATTTTAGTATATCATCCTCCTACTCCCACCCACCCCACAAGTAGTACACCTCACAAAGAGATTTGCCATGTTCTATTCCTGGACATTATAACAATCGGTCTTACATTCCTCCATCATAACAGATGGTTTGACTTCTGAATCCTGATCATGATGCCAAAGTACCATCAAATCGATCAAAACCATTTAGCCTCCCCCAATGTAAGCTCTACTAGATGTTCACGACTTCAGTCACCTTGGATCTCCTATTATTGGTCATTTTAGGTAAGGCTGGTGAAAACTGTAATCTGAATTAGACCAACTTTGGAAGTAGTTTAACTGAAGTACCGGAAATACTTATGTTGGAAGTGACTGGCCGACTGATTGCTTGATTAATTACGAATTTATAACCCACTGCAGATGAAATATAATCTTTTCCTCCCAAAATTCTCTAAAGTGGAAAAACTGTTAGCGCAACTGCCACACTGTCCATCTACCCTTAAGGAATATAATAATGCTAAGTAACATCATCACACGCTAGTTGGGATTGACATGTATCAATTGGAACTATGAACAATAAACATTTCCAAGTTTCTCTGCACCTAAACATATGTATATGTATATACAGCTGGCAAATACACAAAGAGACACAAGTATTCACATTAGATTTCTATAACTTATTTAATTTCCCCCCTATTTTTTTTAAAACTGGGCTTCTCTTCAAGTATACAAAGGATTCTTTCCAAACAATAGGTTAGCATTCAAAAAGATCTCTATGGCACAGGAACCCCACCTGTCCCTGAACAGGAAGCTTTCACTCCTGCAGGTGGTAATGAAGACTGTAAAATTTTTATTACCTGCTGGATGAGATTTTTTTCATTTTGGAACATTTTTTGCCCAAAATGCACAGAAATAGTGTTTGTGCAAAATTTTTGCATAAGAACTTTGCATTCTGCACAAAACACTACATTTTGCACCAAATGAAAGACTCTTCTTGCACAATGGATCGCTTGAGACAAAAATGCAGAAATTACTGGTCCTCTGTTTTTTGTAATATAAAACCTAGTAATTCCTTAGTTTTGCTTATTCCAATTATATGTGTAGAATTTCTTATAAACTACAAGCTTGGGGGGAAAATACACCACTTTCTCTTTTCACTCCTGCTTTGTTTGGCATCATGCCTAATGAAGAGTTCTGATAAACTGCATATTAAGCTTGCATATTATTTTGTGATTCTTTAGTCTGTTTATTAAATATATTAGCTGGCTGGATAGAACCATAGAATCACAGAATAATGAAGTTGGAAGGGGCCGAAAAAGCCATAGAGTCCAATCCCGTGCTCAATGCAGAAATAGAAATCAAAGGATATCTGCTAGGTGGTTGTCTAACTTTTTCTTGAATGCCTCCAGTGTTGGAGCACTCACTAATTCCCAAGGTAACTGGTTCCACTGTTGCACTGCTCTGTTAGGAAATTTTTCCTGATATTCAACCGAAATCTGGCTTTCTGTAACTTTAGCCAATTACTGTGTGTTTTGCACTCTGGGTTGATCAAGAATAGACCCTGCCCCTCCTCTGTATGACAGTCTTTCAAGTGTTTAAAAAGTGCTAACATATCTCCCTTCAGTCTTCTTTTCTCAAGGCTAAACATCACAAGTGTTTTCAGTCTTTCTAGGGCTTGGTTTCCAGCCCCCTGATCATTCTTGTTGCCCTCCTCTGAACTTGCTCCAATATGTCGGCATCCTTCTTGAAGTGCAGTGTCCAGAACTGGATACAGTACTCTAGATGAGGCCTAACCAGCGCCGAATAGAGAAGAACTAGTACCTTGCAGGATTTGGAGACTATACTTCTGTTACTGCAGCCTAAAACAGCATTTCCCTTTTCTACAGCCACATGACACTGTTGGCTCGTATTCACCTTGTGATCTACAATGACTCCAATATCCTACTTGCTTGTAGTATTGCTGAGCCAAGTTTTCCCCATCTTCTAACTGTGCATTTGGTTTATTTTTCCTAGATGCTGTACTTCCCCATCTTCTAACTGTGTATTTGGCTTATTTTTCCTAGATGCTGTACTTTGCACTTATCCCTGTTAAATTTCATTCTTTTGTTTTCAGCCAAGTGCTCAAGCCTATCCAGATCTTTTTGAATTTTGTTCCTGTCTTCCAAGATACAGTATTAGCTATTCCACCCAATTTTGTGTGATCCACAAATTCGACAAGCACTCCCTGATCCAGGTCATTAATAAAAGTGTTGAAGAGCACTGGACCCAGGACTGTGACCTGGGGTGCCCCACTTGTTACCTCCTCCCAGTTGGAGAAGGAGTCATTAATCATCAACCTCCGAGTATGATTCTGTAGCCAACTGTATATCCACCTGACAGTTGTTCTATCCAACCCACACCTAGTTAGCTTGCTAATCAGAATATCATGGAGCACTTCATCAAAAGCTTTGCTGAAATCAAGATATACTACATCTACAACATTCCCTCTGCTTATCAGGGAGGTTACACAATAAAAAAAATGAGATCAGATTAGTCTGACAGTATTTGTTCTTGACAAATCTGTGTTGGCTTCTAGTTATTATTGCAATGTTTCCTAGGTGCTTGCGCAATGACTGTTTTGTGGTCTGTTCCAGAATTTTCCCTGGGATCGATGTCTGGCTGACTGGCCTGTAGTTTCCAGGTTCCTCCTTTTTGCCCTTTCTGAAGATAGGGACAATATTAGCCCTCTTCCAGTCATCTGGTACCTCACCCATTTCCCACGATTTCAAGAAAATAATGGACAGTGGTTCTGAGAGTTCTTTAGCCTGTTCCTTCAATACTCTTGGATGCAGTTCATCTGGCCCTGGAGATCTGAACTCGTTCAAGGTAATAAGGTATTTCTTGACTATTTGTTTATCAATTTCCAGCCTCAATTCTGTCCCCTTTCCTTGCACTTCACTTTTGTCTGGAGGGTCATAGTCTGGCCTTTGGGAAAAGACAAAGCTAAAATAAGAATTGAGCATTTTTTGGCCTTCTTTGGTCTTCTGTTATCATTTTCCAATTTCCACTGAGTAGCTGCACCATTGTTTCTTTTCTTTGTCTTTTCTTATGCACACACCTGAAGAGTGCTTTTTTTTGCTTCTTTTAGTGTCTCTAGCTAACTTCAGCTCATTTGCAGATTTTGCCTTCCTAATGCCATCCCTGCAATTCCTTGCTACTTGTCTATATTCCTTTGTGGCATGGCCTTCTTTTCCACTTCCTATACGTGTCCTTTTTGGTTTTCAGGTCCGCTCTGAGCTTGTTGTGAAGCCACACTGGACTTCTTTTGTTTTCTTCCACCTTTTTTCCTTGTTGGAATTGTTTGTAGTTGTTCCTTTAGAATTTCCTTTTTTTAAGACACTCCCACCCTTCTTGGATTCCTTTTCTTGTTAGGCTCTCCTGCCATGGGACCTTACTTATCCTTGCTCTGAGTTTATTAAAATTGGCTTTTTAAAACTCTAGCATATATGTGTGGCTACACTCTGCTTTGGTTTCCTTTGATAGCTTAGCGAGTTAGCTGTCTGGCTACGGAGCCAGAGGCTGGGAATTCCATGCTCCTCTAGGCAACTCAGAAGAGCCACTTGTGTGGCCATGGGCAAGCTGCATAGTCACAGAGCTACCCCCAAAGAAGGGAATGGTAAATAAACCACTTCTAAGTACTCTCTACCTAAGTCAGAACTGACCTGATGGCACACAATTATTATAATAACAATATTGCCCTCCTACAGATTTTGTCCTAAATAGAAGGAGAAAACCTCTGCTAACACAGTTGTGGTAGATTTAACCATTATGTGCAAAAGACAGGATACAAGCATGAACTGCACTGGGCAATGGAAAACTGAGGAAGTGTTCTGTGTTGTATTAACTCAACAAACTCAATCAATGCTGCGACAATGAGATGATGCAGTTAGATTCAGGCCTTTGCATCTTCAAGTTATTTGTACTTTTAAAAAATGTCCTGTTTGAAAGTTTTCAGCACAATAGCACACTGTGGTCCCCTTTATAGAGGAAAACAGGTTTCTGCTTAGTCAGTCAGCCTGGGCAATTACCAAAGATTCAGTCACACTTAGTCACTTTTTTAAAAATTAAGCCAAATCTTTCCCAATGAGAGAGATGAAGGATGCATTTATTTCCTTAATCTACCTATGAGGCAATCACAATAAAAGCATACAACCACATTATCTGTTGGCCAACTTCCATGGGATAAACCAAGAGTTCCAGAACTTGGTCATTTTACAGAAACATTGAAAGAGCTTTCTTTGTTTTGACTATTACCAGGCTCCTGTGGGATGAAGTGTTCTCTACCATTTCCCCCAAATCTTTTCAAGAATTATGTATATGCTAGGTGACAAGAAGCCAGTAG